GCGGGCGAAGCGGAAGGAAACCCGCGCGGCGGCGGCGCCGGGCCGTGAGCCCGCCTCCGTGCCTTCCGCCATCTTGGCCCGCCTCCGCGTGTCAAAAGAGGCGTTAGAACCGGGGCTGCGACGGTCAGCGCCGCTCTGTCCTCTGCTTCTGCGAGAGGCGACTGAGAACAGCTAAGCAGCCTCTTGGTTCGGAGCTGTATGTGATACGCTGTTAAGAAGCTCTACCTTCCCTTACACTAATTTTAAAATCAGAAAACTTAAAAATTTGAAAGATTTTCACCAAAATGTGACATTCATTGTACAAATGTTGGATTTTATTATCTTAAATGAATTAGCAAGTGTTTTTAAATTTTTACATTTTAAATTCTAATAAACTAAACATCATTTGTAAATGTAAAAAAAATGTTATTTTAAACGCAAGATTCTGGGGGGCCCTTAATTTTTACGGTGTGTGACAGTTCTGGAAACAAAAGTCTGAGGATCACCAATTAGCATACTTACTCTAACAGTTTCCTGTTATCTGCTTAATACTTTTTGATGATCTGTAATTCACATAATAGCAAAACTGCATCCATATCTAATGACGTAAGGACAAAGAAAGAGAATGTTCTATGTGCCAAAAAGTATAAAGAAACTAAAAAAAAAAAACCAGAAACAGTCACCCAATCTCACCCCGCAATGCCAGCCCTCCACATTGCTTTTGCCAGTACTTTTTCTTACGTTAGTATTACATAGTTGTGAGCCGATTGGACACTTAAAATGCTTGATAATAAAATAAAATGTAGGGAAAGTTTTCACTCATTGAACAGAGGAGAAAAGAATAACAAAATCACTAAGTAGATAGGAGGCAACACGGAGACAAGCACAACCTGATAGAAAAATTAAACTCCAATTAAAACAATTCCTATCCCACAAAGGCAAACAAAATTATATATCACTCACCAAAATAGACATATGATTCCTGTGATATTATATATATATATCAACATTTTCTATCCTGGTTAGACTTGAATTGACCAGAAAATAAAGACTGTATGATGCACAGTTAGAAGAAAACTTCAGTACAAACAAACCACTTCAAAGTCATCCAGCCAATTCATGCTGAACGTGATACAGTGCAGCAAAAAAAGTGACTCAAGAAAATAAGAAACAGAAAAATGAGATGTTTTGGATATCATTTGTCTTGGAAAAACAAGAATGTGTGATCTTTTATTAATAGGTACAATCCCTTTATGTAAGTAACCTGATAAAAGGGTGATTTTATGCTCTGCTAAAAATGAGTGGGATGGCTTCCTAACATACATCCCTTGGTGCTCTTTCAAGCACTGCATGGAGCATATTTGCTGCTACTTTACAACAAATAGCATCTTACTTATATGAAAGAATTGCTCTAGCTTCCTGCAGAAATGCTATTTATGTCCACTGTGCATTTCATCTATTTCAGAGCCTGCTGGCTCACACAGTCAGTCCCAGTATGGATATGGACTACCGGAGTCACCATGACAGCCGACTTGGTTCTTTCTTACCATTTCTTGATGTCACAGTACATGGATTCCTTCAAGACCAATAGTCTTACATTTCCAGGTAGACTTTATATACTTTATACTGTGAAATATCCTTGGAAAACTTTTATAATGTATTAGCAAGGACCGCAAAATTTTGATTTTCTAATAGGATTTATTTACTGCAAAGTTCTGATGATATATGTTCCACCCTGTATCTATTTGCAAGTGCTATTTTTCATTCAATTAGCAGATATATACTTAATTGTTATATTGCCAAGCACTTATAGGCTCTGGGCATGCAGCAATAAATTAAATAAACAAAAATTTCTGACCCTAAAACAATGCAGGCAGAGTAGACAGACAAGAAGTGCCAGCTCACATTTTAAACCTCAGATGTTAGGGATGGGCTCAGTTAGAAAGCACTTGAGCAAGACTAAAGAAGTGAGGTAATGATCCACAAGGTTATCTGCAAAACATGTTTCAGACAGAGTCCTCAAACAAGGAGTGTAAGCCAACAAATCAGAATAGTGAGGAATGTAGAGGGTGACCAAGTGAAGACTATAGGAGGTGACATAGGAAGAAACAAGCAGACACAGCACATTGTAGGGCTTCATATGCTATTGCACAGGGTCTTTAGGTTTCACTGAGTGAGTGGGCAACTATTAGAGGCTTTGTACTAAAAGACAGATATTACCAGATCTGCCTTTTAATAGGATCCCTTTATAGGGAATAAATTGCTAAAAGGTATAGAGAGGGAGACTGATCAAGAGAACACTGAAATAATTCAAGTTCAAGACAACTTGGGCCAGGATGTAGCAGGGTAGGTAGTGACAAGTAGTCACAATATAGACATTTTCGAAGGTGGCAGAGCAGAATTTGCTGACAGGTTGAATATATAGCATATAGAAGAATGAAAAGAGTACAGAACTGTCTCCAAGGTATACACATATACCAGTTTGGAGTTCAAGGATGGGGTCTGGACTAGACATTTGAATGTGGGAGTCATCAGTGTGTAGCGATTGCTTAAAGCCATGAGATTGTGCGTGATCCCTAAGGGAGTAAGTGAAAGTAAAGGAGATATTAGAGGCCTGAACACCAAGGAGTTGCAGGAGTTAGAGGACAAGACAAAGAAATGAAACCATCAAAACAAGAGTGGGGGCCAGTAAGAAGGAGGAAAACCAAGAGATGTGTGGTGTCATAAAACCAAAATAGAAAGTAGTTGAAGTAAGAGGCAAAGACTTGGACGGTAGCTCAGTGATAGAACATGTGCCTAGTGTGCCTGAAGCCCTGGGTTCAATACCAGGTGGACATAAATAAGAGCGAGAGCGACAGAGACAGAGACAGAGAGACAAAGAGACAGAGACAGATAGAGAGAGAGAAAAAGAAAATTATTATGAAATGCCATTAATGATAAAGTGAAATGAGGACAAACAATTGACGATTGGATTCAACAATATGAAAATATAGTAATTAGCACCCTTAAAATTAGCAATTTTTAAGAAATGGTGGGAAAATAAAGTGAGAAATTAGAGACATGAATATAAAAACTTTCAAAGAATTTCACTCAAGAAAGCAGAAGTGGTGTAGTAGCTATAGCAGAATATAAGGTCAGAAAACATTCGTCTTAGGAGAAATTCCACTGTGTATTGGTAGAACACTCCACTAGAGAGGTGAAAATTGATATTACAAGAAGCAAACTGGAGAACTGCTAGAATTGGAGAAAGATGTTAGGATTTAGTGTTCAAGTGTAGCACACAAAGTGAAAGGAGAAAGACAATAGTTGGATATAGTCATGGACTGGGAGGTTGATGAGCTCATCTTTTTACTTCTGGTTTTGGCTTGGATTTGTTTTCTTTCAGTAAAATATATCCAAGGTCATCAACTGATCATGAAAATTAGGAGAGGAAATGTTGGAGGCTTCAGAAAAGGGAGAATTATGAAATAGACTTTCAGAAGCTTGATTGAGAGAAGGAAAAGTAGAACATCAGAATGTAGTAAGAGGCCACTAGGAGTTAGTGACAGGGCCAGCTTCACTGGCATGTGAACTTCATATTATGTATCTTTATTGAAATTTGTAAATTTAGGTTATTACTTAAGTGTCTGTTACCTGTGCTGTGGTTTATAAGTCATAAATTTCCTTTAAAATGAAAAAGGGTTGCGTTTTATTGCATTTAACAGTTCTCTTAAACAAAGGGCCCCACAGTATCATTTTACACTGAGCCTTGTAAATTATGTAGCCAAAACTCTGCTTAGTTCTCATGAACATAAAGGGAAAGTAGTGAGCATGGTTATATGGTTTTCTTCAGCCATGTTCAGGTCTGTAGAGACAGACTGAGAAGAGCTGGGGTCACCCCGGAGAGGAAACATGAGGCAAGAAAAGAAACTGACTAAGAATACACAAAAAAGATGATTCTAAAGGGCAGATATGAATAGATTCCACCTTTCTCCACCTCAGTATACAGTGAAGTCAGCAGTATATATTCTGTGTGTCATATAACAGCTCAAAAATGGCCATTCCCTAGGACTTCTGCACAGGATTCAACAGTTTCACACAACTTTTCAAATCTTAAAATACTTCTTCTTTCCTGAAGATGATGAGCTATGAAGTCCAGGACATAGCTATGGGGAACGAACTGAATACAAATTATTAGAAAGAATAAGAGCCCTCCCTAGTTCAGAGGGGCTCCAAGGGAGGATGCCGAAGAGGCACCCAAGTTCAGAGGTTTATTTTCACTTTGTTGGATTATGTTAGTGGGCGTGAGAAATGAGACAATAAGATGATGCAACTGCTGCTTTTGGCCAGGCTTCTAACATCAGGACAAGCAGATTTCCCTGAACTCCAACTTTGTAAAACTTATCTCAATTTACCCAAACCCTTACCCTTTGAATGGCTGTGGTTGCCATTTTTAGCTAGGCATCGGATGTTAGGAGAATAGACTTCCCCTGCTCCTCAGAACACAGTCCAGTGAGCCTCTTTCCCTTGTGTTCATTTTTCCCAGTGCTTAGCTCAGTTTACTCAGTCTCTAT